ATTGCAAATTCGAGCTCTGTGCATGCAATCCACCCTTGTAAATGGCCACGCGAATTTATAACAGGGAAACCACCATCGGAAAGCCCGCGCTCTGAGATGCGAGAAAGCCGTGCAGATAGCAGAGCAAGCGAGTTTTCATTTTCAAAATCCACACAGATCGTCTCTAGGTCCGTTTGCATCAGCTCGGCTGCTGTACGGCGCGTATGTATGTACTGTGTTTTGGTGTCGAAATAAGGGTGACCAGCATGCTCAAGAAGCAGATCGTATATCCCGCTTGGGTTAAAATACTCGGCAACCCAGCGGGCAGTCATGACCCCAACAAGCACAGGCAAGGTATATATCAGGTTTCCAGTGAGCTCCATTAAAATCGCAACCACTGCAATCGTTGTGTGCGTTGCACCTGTTAGTGTAGCACCAGCACCAACAAGGGAATATATGCCTGGGATCACACAGCGAGAATCAGCCGGGCACTGAGCAAAAATAGAAGAGCCAGCATTTGCTCTAGTAAGATATTCCATATATGAGCCGACTATACGCCCAAAAATGGCGCCAATTGACATGCTTGGAAGGACTAGGCCAGAAGGCACTTTTATACCAAAAGTAACGATGGCAAAAAACATGCGGTTGAACAGCGCGAACCCTAGCAAGTACAACAGTGGTAAATAGTCTGAAAGTTGGTTTCCATAGATGCAAAGCAGCTCTTCAACGTCGTTGCCTTCATCATCATATATATGGCCAGGGTCCTTTGCAGGGCATTCCTGGAACAATGATCCGACAAGCTCACCTAAACCAACGCGCGTAAATGGGTTGCCATAGCTGACATACAAAGTCAAAGACGTTATAACAAGGACCTCCAAAAGAGGATAGCGGCCAAGACGGGTATTTTTGCGCAGGCGATTAACAGCCATGTTGAGGCGACAGAAAAAGGCGCCATACAGGCCGCCAAAAATGCCGATTATGATAAAAGCAAGCATCTCGAACCAATGATAGTCCAAGTCATATGTTGTTTGAAACAGAACAAGCTTGCCAGTGCCGAATGGGTCATACGCTTTGAGGATGAGCGCAGCAACAAGCGCACAAGTCAAGCTGCGCAGCATAGTTTTGTTTGGGAAAAAGTAAGATACTTCCTCGAGCGAAAAAAGCACGCCTCCAATTGGTGCACCAAAAGCTACGCTAACACCGGCGGCAGCAGCAGCAGATATGATTTCTCGTTTTTTGGCTTCGTTCTTATAATACTTATCAAAGATACGCGTGGATATGTTTCCCAGGGACGAGGCTATCTGCACCATCGGACCCTCCTTGCCCGCCATTATGCCAGAAGCGCAGCATAGAATAAGACCGAACGTCTTGACAAGAAGAATGCGTACGCCCAGGAAGCCATGTATAACAAACCCGGCGAGGATGGACTTTACTTCTGGAATGCCAGATCCTGCACCATAGTATGCCATTTTGACTGTTGGTGATACCTTTGTCTCGACAGAAGATGAGGCGCCCTGGTTTGTAACTGTGACGCGGGTAGCTGACCTTACGACTAGTGTAGCGGCAATTAGCGTATAGAGAGTGCCAAAGAGAACAAAGACAGCGATGGGTGGAAGTGCATGAGATTCCCAAGTGTGCCAATATTCGCAGCTAATGGCACTTTCCTTGCAGCACATTGTCTTTGACAACCGCCAGTCAGCGCGGCAATATCCGGTCTTCCAGCCAGCAAGCAGCTCAGTCCATTCGGAAATAAAACCAGCAAACAGGCCGCAGAGGATTCCCACCAATACAACGAGCATCCAGCCTTGAATCGGGTCCCAGACGTGGTTTAGCCACCATCCCTTGGTTCCACCAATGGCACGGAGAGCACGCAGCCGCGCTTGCTCGCGTATGTCGTCGTGAAGCCAGTCTATTGTTGTGTATGAGCTGTACCACGCACGGATACCCTTGCCTTTGTTCTTTCTGCCTAGATACGCAGACCCCATCATGTTTTCGCTGTCGTAGAGCATGGAGCGCACGCGCGGAATAAGCCAGGATGTAGGTGCTTCGTCTTCGACGTGGAGCATTGGAAAAGGAATGCGGCTATCGGCTGCAGATATGCTGGTGTTATGCTGAGACTGGGACCTAGCTAGCCTCCTCCCACTATCAGCGTCGCATGAGGTGGTGTTGCTTCTGGCCCCAGCATGGCCAATGTTAATGGACCGCCGCGAATTAATGGTAGAATTGTCCATTTATATAATAATAATCGTGATGGTAGTAAGAGAAAATTAGTGGTTTTGCGGGAAGTGAAGAAGAAAGTACCCAGAGCCCAGCAGTGGCGTGCATGACAAGTTGACATTAATAACGACGATGTAATTAAGCCTGTGTGCATCCACCCGCTCCCATCATGTTTCTTTCTCAAAATACAAACAAGGACAACAGCATGTCAGTCACAACAAAAGCACATGCCGCCTGTCCATTCTATAAAAGGAAAAATTGAGGATGGCAAAGCTGTTTTATTTTCCCGATAAATTACTATTATCCCATGCACGGATCGCTCCCTCTCTTTGCCTATAAAAAGATGCTCATTGCAACCATTCAGGCAAAGCCGCATTTCCTGTTCTGGATATGCCAGTGGATACCAAGCTCGTCTTTTCAAAGCCACCAGAAACAGCTCTAATATTGCTCCCAACGCAGTTTCCAAGCCATGCAGAATTGCTCCTGCGCCTCTTTTATTCTTCTCCATACTTGGTTAAATACTTTGTGTGCAGACTACTCATCATAGCGATGGCTCCTATTGGGAAATTGAAAAGCAGCCAGTAACAAGTTATATGTATATTAGCGCCTGATGTCGCTTGCAATAATTATAAGTACTATCGATTTGCGCATGGCACTATTATATAGTCTAGTGGTGGTTTGTTGTGGCAGGGAACCAATAGTGAATATATGTAAAGCCAGTAATAGTATTCAGAATAGCTAAAAAAAAAGCTCAGTTATTGAGTCTAATGATGATCACTATTGGGATTTGGTGGCGGTCTCGATCCAGTTGTTATACTTTGATGCTGGCTGATAGATAATATGTGAGGGCCTATGGTGATGAATATTATGCATCTATTATTGTTCTTTGTCATGTCTCGGACTACTATTAGCAAATGTGATTTACAAATAGTGCTATTCGTTTGGCTATGCTATAACAGTGACCAGAATTGCTATGTAGCAGTTGTTAATCTAAATATGAAATATATAATTACATGTAAGGTTTTTAATATTGTGTTATTGCTGCACATTATGTTTTTCTACTGTAACCATAGCTAATGCTATCAGCAGCATTTTTCTTTCCTCACATTTCTTGTGACTAAAACTCAAAAAAGGAAACTCATTAAAGAAGAAACAAGATCAGATAGTCACTCTGATATTAGGATCAGAATGGTTTGTTAAATACGGCTAGACGGTAGTAAATGTATTAGATAATATATTTTAGAGTTATGTACAAAAATGACATTTATTTACCTTGGTTTAGGTTATTCTTTCTTATTATAGCCAATTTACTTTCTTAGTTCAGCATTTATTTTGCTTTGCACATAGTGTTTGTTGGATTTTCAAACTGAATGCACACATGTCCTATACCAGATCAACAAAAACAAGCAGTTATCTTGAGTAGCACACTAATTTTACATTTTAAAGAAGGCATTCGTTATCATCAATCATGCTAAAACAAACACAACGACCATTATACTCTTGCCATAGTTCTGTAATTAGCTCTTAATGGTCCTATTCTAAATCTTATCTGTTTTTTCTAACAATGTTTTAGCTTCTAGAAGCTGAAATGCTTATCTCTAGCCTTATGTGTGTGACCACTATGAATTAGAATGATTTGGAAAATAATGAAATAAAAGTAGCTTGAACTAGAACAGTTTAATGTGATTTATTTCCGTGTCGCCTGCTTTGGTCTTGGCCTGCTTAATTATAAATAACAGGTTGCTGTTTCCCAATTTTATTGGCATCCTTAGTCTTCTCAATCTTCTTGGCATTGCCAGCGTCCTTAATACTGCCTTCAATATCTTTGATATCAATGGCAGTGCCACTAGCACTACCGTGCATTGGAACTTTGGCCGTATGTAATAGACTATAATGTGGCTTACTTGGCTTGGATTTGTACATGCTTATAAACTTAATAAAGGGGCTTTTTAGACTGAAAACTTCTTCACTAAAGAGAAAAGGGAAAATAATAAGAGATTGCATAAGCGCTAATATGATGAAAAGGTAAAAAGAACACGTTGTATCACTTCACAATTTATATGCACAATTATCAGCCTGAACTCAACTTGTATTCAACATTCGGATTTAAAAACAAGCACTATTGGGCTTGTGCCTCAATTTACAAATTGCTGATTTCAATCTTAAGGTCTTACAAGTAGTGCTGCAGGTGAGAATAATTTCCAACTGGATTTAGAAACAAATAGTAGGTAGAAACAAATAGTTATACTTTAATTTGAAAAATAACCAAATGCAGGTCAATGCATGTCTTTGCACAGGGCGTATTACAGGATGAAAAGCATGAGCTGAGAGTTGGCACCCATGCCTACTCAAATATGAGCTTACATATAGGATATGGATAGTAGAGTGTGTAATTTGTGCATGGGTTAAAAACCCAATTGTATAAACTGCGACCCAACGAAGCCAATCCACTTGAATCAGCTCAAAATTAGGGCTATACAGAGTTAGCAAATCTTGGCCAAGCTCACTATATAACTAAGCCTGCCCAAAAACATATTACGTTTCAATGAAGAATGTGTGCAGGCGAAGCTGACCATTTCCAAAACTATTCAACCATGTAAGCGTGTTAAAAGTGGGCATATGCGACTCCTACTCAGTCGACACTGGAGCACCAGTTTTGTGCATAGTGGGGGTAAAGAGAGCACAAAATTTACATGAGCAATCGAGCAGCACAATGCTACCAACACAAAAGAGCAAAAAATGGTGAAAAAAGAAACATAAGCATTTAAAGCAACAGCCTACCAATCAGACAGACTTAATTGTTACGACCCAGGCAGGGGTCGAACCTGCGACTTTTTGCATCGGAAACAAACGCTCTTCCACTGAGCTACAAGGCCTTTTTAATATACTATGACAGCCTAATTTAGTCACTCCACTGCAGTATGCAGAGGAATAATACGGCACGATATATTAATAAATGGCAACAACAGAGGAAATAATGAAGTACACCAAGGCCAGCGCCGAAGTGGGCAAGCCTGCACAAAACTCCCCTAGAGCCAACACATATCTTCCTGCTCTGGAGCATGCATTATGGGATAGTTGCAACAGCCAAGCTGCTTACACATTTTGTTCCCAACAAATCGAGCTCATCCATGAACTGCGAAGCAGGTGAGGAAACGCCGTCCCACTACTTCTGAGACTGCGAGTACGTCAACCGCTTCTGGCTTCACATAGCACGTTTTCTACAAGCAATTCGCACCAACAAAAGTGGCACACCCTTCCAAATCACAAAGGAGATGGTAGTTACCGGATTTGGCGGATGGAAAGCTACTATCCCAAACCCTGATGCCACCCATGGACTGGGAGTCTGGGAAATACGCCGCTCTCACGCAGAAACCAACCTAAGCCGCATCAAGCGCACCGGAGATGCCATGTTCATCCGATGGAAATCTACTTTCATGAGCCGCATCGTTCACGACTTCAGCTACTCCTTTGCAATCAAAAAGAAGGCATATCTTTTCAAGAAACGCTGGATGCAGGTATCCAACCAGTGGTTCCAATTCGATCCGGGAGGCGAAGAGTTGAGTGGAAAATTATCCTTCACCCCACTCCCATACGAAACTAACCACCGCTTTCACCACATCCAATTTAATTACCAGCCAGACGATGTCGATACCTTTAACATCGGGCTTTCATCTGCCACGGCAGCCCAACGCTGAGCATTTTCCGTATGACCTCTCACTAATTATTAAACTATGTCTACTTAATTTCGTTATATTCATGCACAATATACTTCGCCATTTCGTGTGTAAAAAGCACGATGTATTAATAAACTCTCTAACACAAGTGCAAAGATCAGTACATGAGTACTCGCTGCACGTCTTCAACGAGTCATAAAAAGTATCATCGATGAGCAGAAAGCTGGCTTTGTTGCTCGCCGCTCAGTCTTTGCAAATATACATGCTCTTCACGCAGCTTTGCTTTGTGGCAAGATAAATACTTCCTGCTATGTTGGCATTATTCTAATTCCCAATCAGAGAAAGGCATATGACCAGGTAGACTGGGGCTACCTGGTCATATGCCCGGAATACTGCGGTGTGGGCCTCCATTTCCACAGTATGGTTCGTAGTGTTTATAAAGAAAGCATGACCTGAGTTTGATTAGCTGGTTTACAAATGGCATTGCGATTAGCCAAGATCTGTGCCAAGGCGACCCTCTGCCACCACTACTCTGCAACATCATCGCTGAACCACACTTATGTTACTTCAGAAACACCCTGCAGGTTATCCGTTTGCTCGGGTACAATCTTCGCGCCGTTGTATTTGCAGATGGCATTGTTATCGCTGTGTTCTCCAAAGCAGATCTGGCCACTTTCGATAAGGCCATTAATCTCCACAGCAGAGCGTCGTATTTCATTAATGGGGTGCACGGTGCTGGCAGACTCGGTCCTACTCGCAAGACTGTGGTTCGCTGCTCACATTGTGCCGTTTATCGACGTCCTCTGTAAAAGCTACAGAGCTAGCACGCCGTTTCGTGTGGAACTCTAAACATAACAGACTGAAGTGAGACAAAGCTACAAAATATAAGAAGCTCGAGAGACTGGGCTTTCTCCTTATAAAAGAGCATACGCTGGCTATTTTCACTCAATTCGCATTGCCGATATTCTATTAGGGGCATTCACCATGGCGAGCTGAGCCAGCGCACTGGGGTTTAACCAATATCTTGCTAAATTAAATCTACATAAATCTCACTTCCTTGCAAACTGCCACATTCTCGCCTCAAGCAAGAAACTCTCGCTGTTCTAGAGCCAAGTACTCCAGAGCTGGGCCGCTGTCAAAGAAAATGTTTTAATTGATATAGAAACTAGTTCAAAGGAGGCCCTGTTAGGACTCCTGCTAGAACAGCCAGCAACTCTTATTCCTACTCACTTGCTGAAGGGCCTCTTGAGTAAGCTGCAAAAAGGTGATTTTTACACGCTAGCCGATATATTCATCCGAAACTTGGCAGCGGGAGCTGTTATCTCTAAAGACGATCCAACAGTAAAGCTTTTAGTCAAGGCTTGGGGGGAAGGACATATTTGGCTAAATCCTGAGCTGGCAAAACGAATAATGCTCGACTGGCCATCCGCTTATAATCCACGAGTTATTTGGTCTAATGCCTTATGTGACGATGCTCTCATCCACAAATACTGGCCAGCTTTAGGCAGGGCGCTTCAGTGCATGGCGTCGATCGAAGGGGTATGGTGGAATAAATAGGGTATAAACAACGACAACAACGGAACGAGTAATGGAGGAAATGCACAGAGGCCAGCACCGACATGGACAAATCTGTACGAAATTTCGCTAGAGCCGAAGTATATTTCACTACTATGGAACACCCGTTATAGGGGTAGTTACAGCTACCAAACTGCTTGTGCATTTTGTTCCTAATAAGCTGAGTACATGCATGAACTACGGAGTAGGCGTAGAAACGCCTTTTCACTGCTTCTGGGACTGCAAACACGTTAACCGGCTTTGGCTTTTATAGTACGTTTCCTGCAGGCAACCTGCAATAAAAAAAACGGCACATCATTCCAAATCACCAAGGAGATGGTAATTGCTGAGTTTGGCAGATGGAAAGCAGTTATTCGAAATCCCAATGCTATTCACGGACTGGCAATCCAGGAAATATACCATTCTCATGCAGAAGCCAACCTGGAAGGCACCATGCGCATTGGCGATGCCATGTTCGTCCGATGGAATGCTTCTCTCATGAGTTGCATCATCCACGAGTTTGGTTACTCTTTTACAGTTAAAAATACGGCCTATAGCTCCAAGAAACGCTAACTGCAGGTGTTTAATCAGTGGTTCTAATTCGATCTGGAAGGTGAAGAGCTGAGCGGAAGACAATCCTTCACTCCACTCATAAGAAATTGATCGCCACCTACACCACATACAATTCAGCTATCTGCCAGATGTCAATACCATCAACATCAGGTTTTCATCTGTTATCGCGGAATCGGCCACCCAACGCTGGGCATCTCCCGCGTGATTTCTCCTTAATTCGTTAGCTTTATGCAATTTCCGTTATGCTCACGCATAATACATTTTGCTGCTTTGAATGTAAAAAAGCGCGATATACTAATGTCTGCCATTTTATGACTACGCTGTTGGTTTCTGATCCAATTCGTTGATTCGAGTGAATATGGAATGCATTTACAGCTTATGACTGTATGAAGCTGGAACGGCTATGCAATGGATAGGCCGAGGATTCAGCGATAAAGAACCAATTGTGTCGGTTACTATGCTGTATTGCAACATTTTGATCCCAGGCGATTAATGGTGTATAGCACATTATTTTCTTTAGCATTTTTCTGACATCTGACCGGCTGAGATATACATAGTTTAGCTTTTTCTAATAGAATTTTGGACAGGTTTCTACAATTAAAGCTACGCTCCTGATTTTTATGAAATAAAAAAATTCTTTTTCTCATTCGTCTTCTTCCTCTCGCAGTAATATTTAAGCGACTTGGGTTGATTTTGTCACTTCGTATTCTATTCTATTTTCTTTTCTTTTGTTACCCTCTGATTTAACTGGTTTCGCCACTATACGTCAAACCAAATCAACAATATATCCAAACAATGTTCACATCGATTAACCCTCCAAGAAACATTAAGATCCCATGTATAGCAATGAATCAGGAGCACCATTGCGTATACGCTTGCGATGTTTTCTTCCACCACCTTCTGTATCGCCTTGCTCCCTGCGCTGGACATACCGCGAAGCCGAGCTGGCCCTAGCATCCGCTGCTTGTCCTATCTGGTGCTCAGGGGTGATCTGAATCAGTGCAATTCCTTCAGTACTACTCTTGTTGCGCTGAGGAGTTACTCTATGATCCTCTGCCATATCAGCATCGCTATAAATATCGGATTGGGCCATGAGCTCTTCTAGCCTGATGTTTTTGCGTTGCGCTGCTTCGATATTCTTGGGTGATAAAAGTGTCTGTGGTGGCGGCTCAAGGGCAGCAGATCGTTTGATGTTAGGCGTACCCAGTGTGTTTGGATCATGGCGGCGATGATGCAGCCTCCCACCTCCCTCAATGTCGCCATGCGTCCTATCAGGCACATATTTTGGCTTTTCGCCCTTCAGATTATCACCGGTCTGAGATTTTGGCGTGGTCATTGCGCTGCTGCTGACCATATTGGGCCCGCTTGTCTCGATATCTGGGGTGCTATTTTTCATAGATGTAAAGTCCAAAGCTGGAGGCGCATGAGAGTGCATCATAACGCTGTCTCTTACCCGCTTGTCATGCTTAGCTGATAGCAACACACTTGGCGACTCGAGAAGCGTGCTACTATCAATGTCCATGCGACTTCCATCCACTATAGGTGGGTTCGGCTGGCTGTACCCCTTTCTACGCGAAGTAGTCCGATTTAAAGGGGTAGAAACCTGGTCATTGCTTCTTTGGCGCTTTATTGACGCGTGTCGCGACGGAGACATCTCAATATCACTTTCATCAGATTCATCAGATTCATCATCATCACCAGTAAGGGTCATTGCTGATCTCTTTGCAGATATAGCCATTGCATTGTATGCATGTGCTTGTGCCACTCTTTCGGATGGAGATTGGCCACCAACAGCTCCACCTTCAAATGCTATAGCAGAGAGCTGCGCGCATGGAGAGAATGGGTCAAGAAGCATACGACTTGTGTCGTTGTCCACCAGTTGCAGGTTTGCAGGCATGTTGGCTGCGGCTGTTTGATCAGGTGTACCAAAGAAGCTTTTTGGGAACCTGTCGCTTTGGCGAATGCTTGCATAGAGATCCAGCGTTGGGGATTCTAGTCGATCAAGAACTGCAGAAATATATAGATTAAATCTGTAGCAAAAGCTATGCGGCGAGCAGCGCTTGAAAAGGCCC